ATACATATTAAAGCAAATAATCTGCATCATGTTGATTACTTCTTGCTTGATTCGACAGTTAGCAGTTGGTTCTTAATTTATGCTATAATATTTATTAAAAAAAAAAACTAAAATTTAAATAAGACCTCACTACAATGTTCTTCTTAGAAGCTGAGAGAAATCTTTGCACAACTTTTATTTTGTAATTTTAATTTAGTAATTTATACTGTAACACCTTTTTGTTTTCTGGTTGTAGGTGTAGTTATTTTATGCTTACAGTAGCGGAAGAATATCACTAAACCAAGTCTTAGTTGGCAAGATATTTTCAATAAAATAGCTTTGGTCTTGTTCCTTCGCCTCACTCCTACTTTCTCTTTTGGAAAAGCATCAGCTACTGCTGTACTGCAGGGTAGCATATATGTAAATATCTAACCAGTCACTGGTGTGCCTTTGTTGTTATTTCTCTTCTGCTTTGTTAGAGCTGTTCCTTTTATTCAGATATTTTCAGGAAGATAGGGAAGAGGATGGAGTTGTTGAATCATTTCATACAATGACTGCTGCAGTCTCTGCCCCATTTCTGGATCCATTTAAGGTCCACTTTCTGGAGTGGAGGAGGGTTCCAGAGAAATTGGCCAAAATCAGAAATGTCACTGAGTCTTACAGATAGTGTGTTCTGAACATATGGAAATTAAATATTTGTTGGAGGTTTGCAAGGGGGCAAGGCAGCGACTGCAAATAACCAGAAACAGTTCTTCATTTGCTGATTCAGAATTCACACTGTATTTTTATCATATATTGTTTAGAGCTTAGTCTGGTTTTGTCTAGCACTTGCCTTTTTTTATGGTCCTGGCAGACATTCCCTCTTAGCTCCCCATTCAAGCATATGAAATCATGGACGCTGTGCATGAGTTAGTATTCTCATGGCCATCATGTGGATAAAAATGCTGCAAACTTCTTAACCAAGCTTGTAATTGGTTAGACCTGCTTTGAATGATTGAAGAGACTACACTGCAGCATCAAAATTCAGCTTCAATTTAATCTGCTTTCCACCAAATTTCTACTGCTGAACAGAAATGCCAAGTTTTAAAAATCACTGTAGATTGAGAGAAGTCCAGAAAAACTTAGTTGTTGCTGCTAACCAGCTTTGGTGTCTCTTCTATCATGCTATGAGCAAATTTGTTGTTTAGGTGTGAAGAAGTGAAAATATACTTTTTTAATGTTATTTTTTTGTAGGGAGTTATTTCTACAGAAATACTAAATCATAGCTCAGAATATATGAAATTCTTGACTAGTTCACACCTCATGGGCTGCACAGTATGTAAAACACTAGAATTTAAATGTTCTTTGGTAAGGTAAAGTGAAACAAAAAGCAATTGCTAATTCTCATGTTTGTGGTTAAACCCTTTCCAAAACAGAGTTGAAAGAAATTCTTTCTTTGCAGCTCTTCTGCCAGAAAATATGGCTCATTACTTGGGAAGTCTATTTCACTGTTAAAATGGGTAATACTAAAACAGACTGCCAGCACAGCTGTGTAAAGGAGGGATAAGACTGTGTGCTGAAGGATGTTGTTACATTGTGAGATAAGTGGTGGAATTCAGTTCCATCCTCCAGGGTCCCTAAGAAAAACACACCTTATAGTGAACCAGTGTTGTAATTCTTTAAGTAGGTGCTTAAACATCTAGTCAATGTGGGAGCTAAGTATTCTTTCTGAATTACTTTTGCTTGTTTCTTGACATCTCTGAAATAATATGCATTCTTCTCCCTTTTTTTTATGGCAACATACAACTGTGCTGTGAAACTTTAATGGCGAGTTGTGTGTGACAGATAATTTCAGTATTTCCGAATACCTATGATTGGCTGCACTTACTAGAAATTTTTCAGGACACATCATTTTTATTTGTGTTGGGCCTGGCTCCCTGTTTGGAAATGGCTCTTCTGTTATATATTACAACAGTGTTGGTGCAGGAGAGATATGTTTGGGAATGTTGCCATTTTGGACATTGCATTGTTGCATAGTTTTATCACTGTTACTCTGCTTTGAGTTTACTGCAGCTATACAACCTGGCGGAGGGGAGGGTTGGAGTTTGCTGTCATTTTCACGAAAACATTGATGAGAATTAAATTATGGAAGTAAAGCAGAAAACTCTCTAGGACAGACTAGTATATTAAGGGAAATGGCTTGTGTAAAATAAGTGCCCATTGCAGAAGTTTCCTTCAAAGTGTATGTTGTGTCCCTGCAGGATATAGACAATTGCTTTATTGACTCCTTTACTACCTATAGATTCTTAAGCAGGTTCTGATCAGTCCGATTCATTTGCTGTTTCCACTTAAGCTGGAGTTCAGGGAGTGCTTTAAATCAGCAAAAATAATCCATGCCACCAGAGCAAGGGACTCTGGTGCCTGCACCATTGTTTTTCCCTGGTGCTGGCATAAGGTTTCAGGGGCTGGGTGCTGAGGGGCTCAGAAAAAGAACATTGTAGTTAATTCTGACAAGAGTTTCTCACAAACTCTGACAGTACAAAGGGCTTGGGATGAGCAACAGAAGTAAGGAAAGTGGGTTTGGCAGTAGGAGGAAGCGGGATCTTTCACAGTGGTCTTTCTTTGCATTTGATGCATGTATCTGATGTTTTATCTGGATTGGCATATAGTAAGATTGGGATGTTTATGGAACCTGCCATTAGCAATTTTAAGAGCAGGTTTTTCTTCAGTCTTCATAGAAAAGAAAAAGTGGAAAAAGATGTTTTCTTTTTCACACAAAAAAATAGGGGGCAAAGATGTCAAACTGTTTTCTGTCGTAAGGCAACTAAACAATTCTAGACATGTGATGCACACTTAATGTTCATGACTCCTATTATTTTGTAGTTTTGGCTCCTACTATTAGAGCTGGTCAGAAATGTTTATTTAAAAGTGTTGGGTTTTCAGAATCAAGTTTGGACAAGTTCAAGACAAGGTCATGTTCAAGTCTGGTACAAACTGGAAAGAAGCACTTGTTGTGATTCTTTTTTTTTTTTTTTAATTTTTTTTTTTTAAGTCCTCTTTGCTGAACAGACGAAGAGTTTTGTTCTGTTCCCCTGTTACCTTTTTATATCCCCTTTTGGTGGTTTAGAAGTTTCCAGCATCTACTGAACTTCATATCCATCACAGTCTGTGCTATAGTTAGCTTCACTCATATCTGTAGATTGGATAACACAGCTCTTTCCCACTTGTACATTAAAGTACATCTGGAGGTTTTTCTGTACAAAGTTTTCCATAGCGATTCTTTCTGCTGAGATTTTTCATGGCTGGTTATTTATTAGTAGGAGCTCGTGGCTTATTCTAGAGCATTGAGGTAGATCTAGAGCCAGTTCTAGCTGTACTTGGAGTGGTCTCTTTTCCTTGGTCAACCTAGAGCAGCATATGTGGGAACAGTGGTAGGCAGAATATCTCTGAGGAGGACATTTTTAGTCTTTTTAGTTTCCTCTATGAAAAAATGTTAAGAGACACAAGACCTGTCTGCATTGGCAGTCTTAAAAAAATAAGTTATATTGGGTGCTTCCTTCATCCTATTATGCTGTCAAGGAAAATTTGAAATTCAAAACAAATAAAGTAGGAGTTAAATTTGGATTATTTGGGCTTTGATCATTTATAACACTGATTCAGGTGAGACGGGTTTTTTACAATGAACATCTGCCCTCCTTAAAAATATTAAGGTGAAGAGTTGGCTTATTAAACAGGAAGTATCTCTGTAGGAACTCCCTGCTGACACAAGGTGCTCTTAACGTGAGCATAATTCCTGTCAGAATTAACATCTGGGTGTGTTAGGAAGCAGGAGATGGCATTATAAGCAAGAGCTTTCCTTGACCTTTAAAAAACAAGAACCCTTTGCAACTGCATTATTTATCACAGTGCAGCTTTTATCATAGCATCATAGAATGGTTAGGGTTGGAAGGTATTTTAGTGCTTAGCAGTATTCCAGGTGGAGTGTGGACACACATCTTGGTGTCATCAGCAAACTTGCTGAGGGCACAGTCAATCCCACTGTCCATATGGCCAACAAAGATGTTAAACAGCACCGGTCCCAATACCAAGCCCTGAGGAACACCACTTGTCATTGGTCTTCATTCGGACATTGAGCCATTGACCACAGCTCTCTGAGTGTGACCATCCAGCCAATTCCTAATCCACCGAGTGGTCCATGTGTCATTACTTTTGAAGGGGAATATTACCAATGGGTATTTTACACAAATAGACTGGTAATTGGAACTGGCTAAGGAAAAATACTCATTCTTCAAATACAGAATTTGGTAGTTCTGGTTAAACTTCTGTCTTCTGCCAAGCAAGGAATGTATGATCACAAAGTTAACAGTTAACCTTACTGCTAGCAGCAAGCAGAGCATTTCTCTGCAGCTGGGAAGACCCTTTATTGTAAATCATTCCTTTGCCTGGTTGAGATTACAGGCTTGAACTGTATCTCTCTGAAGGAGGGAATGCTTTGGCTAGAGTATAGAAGACTTGTCTGAAGTGTGTGCCTCATGTTTCCCCTGTTGGAACTGTTAACACAAATATACATGTATCTATATGAAGTATGTATTTTAGACTAGAAATCTGAGATTTCCACATAGCATCGAGTACCTTAGCAGGAAGCTGGGAGAAAAGTACTTTCAGATTCTTTTCATTACAGCACTGTGCACCCAATACCAACTGCATTATCTAAAGATTGTCCTGGTACAGAGATTTGAAGCTGGGCTTTCAGCATTTTAAAGTAGCTTCCTCTAAGCATAATGCATTTTGGGATATGAAGGTCTGACTATGAAAGGAGTGTTGCATCAGGCTCTCTTTCTGTCATTGTGGCTCTAAGATTTTAAAAGATGTTGATTTATTTCATGTGTGAAGTGAGTCACTTCATAACCTTGAAACTTTTGCAGGCAGGACAGTGAAACTAATTCCTGTCCAACTGTGTGACAGCAAATACACAGACAATACTTGTCCTCATGAAGTTTTAAGGTAGCTTTACTAAATGTTTCTTTTTTCCCTCTCTTCAGATTTGTCACGGAACAGACTGTCAGAGCTTCCAGCAGAAGCATGTCACTTTGTCTCCCTCGAGAGTCTTAATTTGTACCAGAACTGCATTCGATATATCCCAGAGGCTATTTTGAACTTACAGTCTTTAACGTTTCTAAATATCAGGTAACAATTGGCTTAGAAATTTTGCTTTAGCATCAGTAGTCTAGGTTTATAAATCTTAATGTATCTGTAAGTAATGCTAACATGGCATGTAATCATCACATCGTTTTATGTCATTGGATCAAAGCAAACTGAACTAGTCTTACCCACTTAGGTGGATCAGGGAACATGAGAGTTAACCAGCAGCTTGTAGAACTGGAGTATGAAGAAAAAAGCTCATCCCAACTTAAAGGAATCGCCAAGTAAATTCCAGTAGTTTTCATGTGAAATACAGGCATGCAGACTGAAAAGAGATGATAGAGCTTTTAGACAGTCTTTACATTTCAGCTCTCAGCAGCTGAGCAAGGCTTATGCAATTTTCCTTTACTTTTGCTGTATTGATGGTTTTTAAAGATCTTTCTCAAGCATTAATATGACTCTGACAGCATTAAAAGCTAATTGCTGCAACTCAGCTTGTTGATTTAATTTAACTGTGTACAGCATCCTCCATTTGTAGAAGCCCTTTTAAGAGGCGTGGAAAGTGCCCTATCACAAATTGGCAGTGATACCTGTCAGGAAAAACTTCAGGCTGTTTCCTTATGGTGCTATGCTTTTGCCAATTTAGTATGCTTATGTTTCTTTATTTTCTTTATTGATGGTGAGAATTGTAGGAATTGGATATGAATCAGGTATGGGTTTCCTATTGCTATGATCTCTAGTAGGTACAGTCCAAGTAGGTACAGTACAATCCCTTTAAAAGTTGCTGTTGGTTCACCTACGGCTCAGAACTCTTTTTTCTTTAATAGCAGGGAAGTCTGGATTTCAAGTATCAAAAAATACAGTAGCATGTTTTGCTAAATGTCAACATCTGATCAAAGCCTTAATTAAGATCCTAATAACATTCTTTCTAATCATCTAGTCACTGTTCCTTGCTAAGTTCTATTTTTAAAGGGAATCTTTGTCTTTTACAATCCATTCTCATCCTGCCTGTTTCTCATCTGAGGTTACAGTCCAGTTATATGAACTCATATTTGCTTTAATAGTAGTTTATTATTAAATGTCTAAGGCTGTATTTTGTAATAGTGAAATCCAGCATACCACAGTTGTTGATCCACATGACTTGCTCAATTAGAAATATACTTTAAATATTCAGTAAGTAATGACTTTCTCTGTGGCATTTTGTATGCGTCCACCTGCAATACTACCTATCAGAAAGGCTTTTGCACTCTGTTCATAGTCATTTGTGACAGAGGGTGGCTCCTTATCAGAAGCACCTGAAATAACGTATTCCCCAGCACTGAATTCAGAAACATCTGATCAGGTTTGGTACTTGATATTCAGAGTTTGTTCACATGTAACTAGATAAAGCAAGTAATGAAGAATGACTTCATGGAACTACTTTTACAGTAATTAGATAGTCGACTCGGTTTTTATATAATTGGAATGTGCTTTTTGTATGAATCTTTCATTGCATTAAAATGTGAGGTGGTTTATCATTAGAGTTCTGATTATTTTGTTTCCTTCCTGTCCAAAAAGTCGAAACCAGCTTTCCACATTGCCAGTACACCTCTGTAGTCTACCACTAAAAGTTTTGATAGCAAGTAATAATAAGTTGGTTTCAATACCTGAAGAAATTGGACAGCTCAGACAGCTGACAGAGCTTGTGAGTATACAGTTATTTTTTAACTATTACTGTTCTGTCTTGAATTTTTAATTGATGTGTTTAATAGGTTCAGATGTGCTTCAGAAGAAATAATTCTTTTAAACTGATCAAAATAGTGCAGTACTTAGGATGCTGTCTGGGCATGCGCAAGGTCAACATCCTGTTTCTCATTCTGCTGATTGATTCTAAACCAGTCACTTGCATGCAATGACAAGTTAACTTTTATCAGCTCATACCTAAGGAGGATTTCTATCTACCATAATATCTCCAACTATGATTTGACTTTGGATAGAGTTTGAAATACTCTGAGATCTTAAAATTTTATGTGAGGGAAGGTGCCTTGCACTGGAGAGCAAATTACCCATGTCAATTTAACTAAGAGTCTCCCTTAATTTTGAAAGGAAGGCTTGATGGAATTAGAGCCCTTCATGCATTTGTTTCTGGCAAAAAGTTTTTATGTAGCAAGTTGTGTTCTCTCCAATAATACGGGATAACTTGAATGAGATAACTTGGAATAACCTTCTACATCTGAATGCTTAAATCTTTTAAAACTTTTATTTCCCCATGTATTTAAAATGAGAATAATGCTTCACATCAGCAGTAAGATAAAGGAATATAAGGATCTGAGATGTTATGTATGTAGTTGTCTTTTTCAGTCCTTAAATAAAGTGCTACATATTTTACTTAACAGAGGCCTACCAGTCAGTGGTAACTCATCCTTTACTCTTGTTTTCTAGGATGTGAGTTGTAATGAAATACAGACAATACCTCCACAGATTGGAAATTTGGAATCCTTGCGGGACCTAAATGTCAGAAGAAATAATTTGGTGCATTTACCTGAAGGTGAGATAAAGACTCTCAGTTGTAACAGCAGAAACTTAAAGCAATTCTTTATTTTCGGTGCTGTTTTCTTTCCCTGGGAGCTAGAAGCAGCATATTTATTTTGTAAAACACATAGTTTTATACTCTTTTTTTTTTTTTTTAATACTTTTTTTAATCTGCTTATTTGTATGTTTGTTTTCTATCTCCAGAGCTTGCTGAGTTGCCTTTGATTCGATTAGATTTCTCCTGCAATAAGATAACAACAATACCAGTTTGTTATAGAAACCTCAGACATCTGCAGACCATCATGTTAGAGAACAACCCTCTCCAGTCACCCCCTGCACAGGTAAACTGCAGCTAGGAATTCAGATGGACTAGTTCAACTAAAAAGGGCAGAACAAAGTTAGATGCTGAGGGTTTATATTACGAGCTTTATTTAAGAACAAGAGTACTTTAAATAAATTGTATTGACTCATAGTGTTAAATCCACAGCACAGCTTGAGAAGTCCCTTTTCTTCTTTTACATTACTGTATTAGTAGTCTCATTGATGGGACATTACTAAGAATTCCCCTGATAGCATTGTACTGCTGCTAATGTTAGCTGAACACTTCTGCTTTTGGTGCAAGAGAGAGGAAGCTCTGTTAGGCAAGACTGATTTTGTGCCACTAAAACATCAACATTTTGACTGAGGTCTCAGTGCTGCTGTGTGCTGGTTCACTTTGCAGCAGAGTGCTCAAATTGGCCTTTGACCTAGAAGCTGCAATATGCTTAGTGACTAATTTGGGTTTTTTTAATGTGGGTATATAAGCCCTTGAGTATTACAGGTTCTACTGTGAGCTGCTGCTTCTGAGTTGAGTGGCACTTGCTAAGACGTGTAGCTTCAATAGGGTTTTGCCTCCCTTTTGAAAGCAAAAACAGCTGTTACTGGCTTCATTCACTTTAAATCTGAGCTTGCTTTGGCAGTCTGACATTGCCATTCAGAGCTGGGCATGGGTGGGATGCATCGTTTCGATGCCAAGGGTATAAATTCTAGTACTTGTAAATGCTTATGTGTTGTTTGCATGTTGAAATTTCAGCATCTAGCTGACAGAGTTGAATGCAGACCAGATGTACTTGGAGGACAGCTTCCATTTGTCTATCATGGGCATCCTGTCATGCTCCACTATATCTGTTTCTCTAAAATGCAGTGAGATTAGAAGAAAAGATTTGTTGGTTGATGTAAATGTGCTCATTTATTACTCTCAACTACAGGTTAAATGTCTGTAGAGTACTTTGAAAATATATTGTCAACTTATACCTATGTAATTTTTTCCTTTTTTTTTTTTTTTTAAGATATGTATAAAAGGAAAAATCCACATATTTAAATACCTGAACATAGAAGCATGCAAGATAGCTCCAGACTTGCCTGATTATGATAGGAGACCCATGGGATTTGGATCTTGGTAAGTTTGGCACAATCCAAGTTTTTAGTTTTGACATTCAGGAAAACTTTGTCAGTTGTCTTGAGTTTTTAAAGAAACTAGATCCAAGAATCGTTCTTCAGTAAGTGCATTGATGGAGGTGGCTTTGAAGAATGTAATTTGAATTATCTCATGGTGCATTCTAATAAGTGATGCATGCTTTCATGTTGTTAAGATGTGTGTTCAGTTTATAAGATCTTAATGTTTTCCACATGCTTCCTGAAGTACATCCCTGCAATGATTTTGAACCTTTTGAACAGAACTGCTGTGCTCAAACCACAGGTGTAAATGCTGATCTCCACCCTGTTGCTATACTGTTATTTTTGGCAAGCTTTCACTTGGCACTATTGCTTAGCATTGTAACACAAATGTTGGAATGGTCAGCTGTATCAGCTGCTAAATTAAGATGTCTAGAGAAAAACAGGACTTAAGATTTATTTCTTTTATATGATTTAGAAGAAAAGGAGTCAGTGAAGTATGTAACTAAATATCTGGAAAAATTAGCTCAATCATCTTGGAAGGTGGTAATAAGGTGTGGAGGAGTGAGTTGCCTGGAAGGATGTACTGCTGCTTTAGCAGCAATAAAACAGAAATCGGAGCGTATCACAATAAATTATCAGGATTCAGATTTGTGAAGAACTTGCACAAGGGACTGACAAAGTGATTCCTCATCAGCACAGAGTGCCTTAAATTATTAATTTTTTAGATGAGGTGAACATGTAGGCGTTTTGAATGTTACTCATTTTCCTAGAGTATAAGCTGCTGCAGATGGTTTCTGCATAACACTGAGGATTCTGTCCTGTTACTAAATCATGGTATTTTGTCTAAATGATAAAGCGTCATGATGTGTTTAATATAGTTTGAGTATTTTTTTAGAGAAAATCTAAAAATATCAGTGGACTATGTGCTTACTGATTTATTGTTGTCTGTTGTTGTATATTACTGTGGAAGTTAACATTAATTGCTTTGGTGAAATTAAAGAATTAATGTATTTTAATCATAACTTGGAATTATGAATGTAAAAACAAGTGCACAGCTATTTGCAGATGCTTTCTCTAGATTTGCCTCCAAATTCATCCATATGAAATGGGTTTCAACTGGCTTTCCTGTAGCTGTATTTTCATCCCCAACAGGAGATAAGAGTTGGTGATAGGATTATTTGTCGTTACTGTGCTGTTTAGGGCATTTGGTGTTGCAGGTGATTCCTCCTGTCTTCATGTACCTATAGAAGGACTGCCCATCGTTAGGAGTATATATTAGGAGGGAATGGTAAAATGGTCTAGTGGAAGAGATGATCTCAAATTATTATATTCTTCTGGAACTTGGGATGAGAGAAATAAAAGCATTCTGCTACAATATAGTTAATATTTCTAGGCAAGTCGTAAGAGCTTTATGTTTGTTATCTTCAAAGGTGACCAATGGAAAAAAGCTACCAGTCTGTACACCTAGACTTTGTTGCTGTTTTATCTGATAAGCTAGGTGAAATACCATGGATCTGAAGGTTAAGGATCTGAAACTGAGTGGCTGAGATTCTTAAAGTTTAAGGAGGTTTGAGTCGTGCTGTCAGTTTGCTCTTCATCAAACATTGTTTAATAACAAAGTTGTTAATACTGATAATAAAACAAGATGCTCTGAAACATTAGGGCAGAAAGTGGGGTTTCGAAGTTCTAGTGCAGCTGATTATTTTTGATCTAGCCTTGTCAAATTATCTCAAACTGTTTTACTGGAGTGAAATCTTCTATGTTTACAGCCCTCTTGTGAACAAAAGCTGCGTGAAATTTATGTGGCTGCAAGTTTTGATCTCCTGCAGCCAGTCTCTTATTTGTAAGATTGAAGTTCAGAGCAGCTGAGGTTTGCGCTGGAGTGAACGTGATTGAGAGGAGGCAGAACTTTCGAAGCTGTGTAGCAATTCTTTTGTCACTGAGGCAATCTGATATAGGCTGGAGTTAGAAGGTTTAAAATGTGAAGTACTCGTGTGAACCAGTGTAGTGGATATTCTGGGACTTGGGCAACTGTTCTTTCTTAAAAAGACATGTTTTAGTGTGGCTTTGGAGCTGTGTCTTTGAAGTGTTGGCAAGTATTGTCTTTCCTTTGGCTGTTGGCCTTACCAGGCATTTAATCCTTTGATTTCAAGCCTTACAAAGCCTTCTGGATAAGTTTTACTTGCCCCAGAATGTTCTGATCTGTCCAAATGCTTAATCATTGTTTCTTGTAGCTTGTTGGTCAGAGAGGAACAAAAATCTTAAGTCTCAACTGATTTCAGGATGGCTGCTGTATGATTATAAACTTGTAAAGTGTGCAGCATTGAGTGTACAGCTGTTTTTAAATGTGAGAGTTGGGCAGACAGAAAGCAGCTTTCATGTTAAAAAGGAAAAAAAATCCTGGGAACAGTGATTGTGAGTTCTTGAGTTTCCTGATAGCCTCAGTGTTAGATGTATAGCTTTTCAAAATCTCTAATTGAAAAGGAAGGCTAAAAGAAGAGAATTTGTATCAAAATACTTCCCCATTTTTGAAATGTAGCCAAATAGTCATTTTGATGCTCTTCAATCTGCAGTTCAACCTTACAACAGGGTACTAGGGAGATTCTGAAAATACTGATGCATTTATAATCAAATTACACTGCAGATGAATTTTTCTTTTCTCTGACCTATGTTTTAAATCCAATATTTATGTACTGTCAACTGTTAGCATAGGTATGGTTCTATTGTCAGTGATTCAAGTAAATAGTTCTTTAACTGCACTGGGTGATTTCATGGTCATTCTTTTTACTTCCCCACCCAAGAGAAGGGAGTTGGTTTTTCTTTCTCCCTTTTTCTTTCTAGGGGTTTATTATGCAAATGATCTTTCTGTTCAAATACAGGCATACAGGTGATCTCTTTTTAGTGTAACAAAACTCCATGCCTACACAAGAGTTTGTCTTTTGGTGTATATCAGCATAGAAGTAGACGTATAGCTTAACTTTGTCATCCCTCCTCCTACTTTGTTGCTATTTTATGTCTATTTAAAAATTAAAGTTGCTCTTCTACAAAGTCACATGCAGACATACAGCACTGCATTAATAATAATCACAATAATGAGTCATTTGAAAATAAGTGTTTCCTGAAAGAGGGATTTCAGAGGGAGCGACAACTTGAGAGCAATACCAGAGAGAAAATGACCTGCAATTTAGTTATGATGGGGTGAAGCAATTAGCTTCTTGAAATTTGTTCTTCCTTGTGTATTAAATAGTAATTATTGCTGCAGTTCTCCCTGAGGCATCAAGTGCCAGTAGGACAGTTGAGCCATTGTGAAATGCCATCTGCAGTGGATCAGACAAGTCGCATTGTCTCTTTTACTGTAGCTATCTGCAGCAGTTGCCAGACTTGACATCTGTGATGGCTGGACTGCTGAATTATGTAGTTTCTAAGCCCAGAAGTTTAGAGAACTGCATGGCTGTTTGGTTATGTGTATTGTTACCCTAGACCCATGTCTGATGCCTTTGTCTAGTCAAAGTCAGGCTCTGTATATGAAAACTGTACTTCTATATTTATTATATTACAAAGCATTTGAAATACTGTTGAGATTGGTACAGTTTCTTAGCCAGGTAATTATGATACAGAAGATAATTATGTAATACATTCTGTGTACTTTCTTGTAGAAATAGTATATTCTGAATTTTCAGTAATTTTGCATGGTTTTATGCTTTTGAAAAAGTTTGTGGGACAATGTGTCTCAGTGAAAACATAAGAGAAAATGAAAGCTTGAGTTGTTAAACAGTGAGATAAGAAGCCACTTTGCAGTTTTCTTTGTCATAATTTCTGCTTGGGAAATGTTTGAAGTATGGGTATCTCTTTTGGATCAGATTAGCTCTTAAAACACTAGGCAGTGGCAGGTGAACAGCTGACTGACAAGTACGTTTGCAGCTGTGAGTACCTGCCTCTTGTTCTAAGTGGCAAATGCACTATGATGCTTTCTAATATGCTGAGCTTCTGAGCACACTGCAACTATGCTACATAGCTCATTCTGCTTTTGTTCTGCAATAGCTAAGAAGCTTTTAGTGGCGTTTATATTACAGTAACCAAAACTGTGTGTTTGACAGCCATGAGGAACTCTATTCCGGTCGTCCATATGGAGCACTTGATTCTGGCTTCAATAGTGTGGACAGCGGAGACAAAAGGTGGTCAGGGAATGAAGTAAGTGTTGCAGCTTTATTTTTGTTTGGTGCAGTATTATACAGGAAAGAAAACCGTTAAGTATACGTCTGGAAGCATATTCCATAGGTAACATATGCTAGTGTGCAGGTTGCCTTAAGCCAAAATTATTTGTTGTTTTATTGGAGAAAAATGAGCATAATTTTATATGGGACAAACACAAAGTTGGAAATAATACAAGAAATATATAAAACACTGCATGACAGATTAATTTACTGGAGTACAAAACATGAGAAAAATGGGAGGCCTCATTTTGAAAAAGCGCATAGCTGTATCATATTACAATGTCGAGTCAACTACAGTTACTTATAAGTAGTTGTTTCAATAAAATAAATCTGAACATGAAAATTAAGCTTCAAAAATCAGATGGAAATTTTTTCTCCTTTCTTTGAAGCTTGTTTCAAACGTTAAAATCTGTTTGCCATTTAGAAGCAGGAAAATGGGATCTCTTGGCAAGGAGACTGTCAATTATTCTTCCCAGGAAAAAGCTCCCTTTTTCTCCTGGGACAACTAGAAAAGGCAGTAGCCAAGACCTTAAGTGCTTCAGTGAGCTATACTCTGTACACCTGCTTGCACTCCTAGCTTGGTTTTTGAGAGGGTTCTAGGAGTTTCCATCCTGGAATGTTTTCAAGTACTTAAAGATACCTGCGAAAAAAAAAAAACCAAGCCCAAACCCAAACACAACCCTGTAGGCAAACTGGGTTGTTTTTGTTTTAAGGAAGTTTAAATACATGGCTTAAAAAGAAAAAAAAAAGCAACTCTGTGTTACAGCTGTATTTTATAGGTGCCAAACAGGACAGTTGAAGTAAAAACACAAATCAAGAGGTAACAGGTGCAAGATGATGTTTCTGAAGAAAAGTGTTTCTGGACTTCACTGTTTGTTTTCTGAAGCCAACAGATGAATTCTCGGATCTCCCTTTGCGTGTAGCAGAGATCACCAAAGAACAGAGGCTGCGAAGAGAAAGTCAGTATCAAGAAAATAGAGGGAGCACCGTTGTAACTAATGGTGGAGGTAAATAGTGATCTTTGGTTAACAATGTTTATTGTCATCATTATTGAAGTTCCAGAATATTTACTATAAATAGTAGGCTGTCTAAAGAGGGGGAGAAAAAGAATATCCAGGTGCAGTTGTACACAACCACTGCTGTGTAAACAGAAAAACACTTGTATTAAGGTTTTTATGAGGCAAAATCAAATAGAATCAGAATTAAGATTGTGTCAGCTTCTGCATATGTGCTGTGTAAAGTCTCCAATTGCTTAAAACAGTGTTTTGGAATGGAGTTTTGCTGCTTGAGCTACTGGGGAAAATTTACAGCAGGAGTAAATTGTCAGTGCTTCGTGCTGACTGCTGTTGGAATGATTGTTACCAGCAATTTTGTCAGGGAATTTCAAATTTCCAAGTAGCAAAAGTGCCTCCTTCAGCAGTCTCTGGTTTTAATTCAAACACACGAGGCATCTAGGAACGACTGCTATTTCTGAATGATGTTGCTTTTTTGCACCTTCTCAATTGGTTGCTCTGCAGTCTTGCAGTAGCACCCTCATACTTGTTCAAGAGGTGACAGCACTTTACATGTTTCTTGGTCTCTGCAGTCCTTCTCCATTTTAACTTTCAATAATCTGCTGCTACCATCTTGGTTTGTTTATATGTCTCAGTTTGAGCGTTCTTCCAGGTTTTGGGGTTTTCTTTTTTTTTTTCCCCCCAATCATTCCATCTTCTTCATTTTTCTACACTACTTATTATTAGATCTCATCCTGTATATCTTGATTAATTTTTCTTCTTTTTCAGCTGCTCTCTGCTTTCCATTTCTCCTAATGGCTACACTTCATATTTCCTGAGTGTCACTTTTCCCAACTACTTTTAATCTTCTGTGCTCAGCTCCCACTTTTTCTTCTCTCTTACCTCCTCCTCCCATTCATCTTTTGCCATCTTCTTTTCTTGGTCTTACTCTTCTCCACAGTATTTTGGGGGTTTTGGCACCTACTAGAAATACCTGCATTATTTTGGTTGACTCAAACTCTTTCACATGTGACAGACAAAAAAAATCAATTCGGACAGTTAGATTCTGGTAAAGTTAGAAGGGTTGAAGACATGGCTTTGTGAGATGCCATAATAACAGGTAGCGCTGCCAGCTCTGCCTCCAGGACTAACTTTATTTTGTTCTTTGGGTTTTGTACACAAGGGATTTCAAAATGCCTCACTAGTCTTTTAAGATGGAGCAGGGTCAGTTCATGAGTAGGAGTATTTGAGAGGGGCACAAGCCATAGCATGTGGCTGTCTGTGATCCAGGAGATGCTTTCCAATTTTGTGTTTCTAACACAGACACTAGTGTCTTTCACCCTTTACTGTAGTATTATTATTTAAGTTTAATAAGCATGGCTGGAAAGAAGGGCGCTTTTGTTTTGGTTTGGTTTGTTGGGGATTTTTTTAAGATTTGAAACAGTAATGGAGACTTAATGAAGCCAAAGTATATAGGAATGCTGTTCTGGATGGTTGTAGTAGCAGAGGAGGTGGCTTTGGCAGTAACAGTTGCTAGATTGTGTGGTGAGGCAAAGAGAAGTCTGTTTTAGACAAGCAGGAAAGGGGCGGGGGAGTAGAAAAAGAATGTCTGCAAGAGAGTGGAGCAAGTTTGGGGACAGTTTTAAGGAAAAGAAGGCTGTAGTGCTCAGAAAGGGAGCTTATGCTTTCTGCTGCATCCCCAGCACAGTATTTTTCACCGGGGTAGTTTGCTCAATGTCATGACTCCCAGGATCCCTGGGCAGAAAATACAAAAGCAGTGACAAGTGAAAAATTTGCCCTACATATCACCCACACAAGGGAAAATCAATACTAGCCAAGCTGTGCTGTTTCTTGCTCTTATTTCAGTGGTTCCTAATCCCTTTTCCATTCTGCTTTTTAAAATAAAACTGTAGATGCTTTTATATTGGTTTAGAGGGGTTTTGTTGCTTTCTGTGCTGTCCTTCGTTATTTCCACAGAGACTTCTTATATTTATTGCATTTGCATCCAGACATGCTGCCTTCTGTATTCCTGTAGTAGTAAAATAAGTAGAATTATGTCATATCCATTCTAATTTTTGTGACAGAGATGAATGAGAACCAAGAGTAATGATTCAAAGTGTACACAAACCATTGTACATTCTTGGTGTTAGCTGACAGATTTTGTAGATAGTTTTGGGTATTGAAAAAAAAATCACTACTTTTTCAGTCACTGCAAAAGTATCTGCAGCCATAAAACTGCATGCTTGATACGTGTTTCTCATTGCTCTTTAAAAAGCATAAATTTTCTCATTATTTCAAAATTTGGTGTTTAACAAATGTTAGTGGACCTTGCAAAATCCAAGAGCTTTTAGGTTGAGTTTTCCCAGACAGAAGAAGAACAGTAGGGCCTTAGTTCCTGGCATTGCTTTTTTGTTGTGGGTTTTTTTTTCCCTCTCCTGTTGGTTATCTAATTATGGATGTTTTCTTTGTGTATGTATGTCAAGTGGAACATGATCTCGATCAGATCGACTATATTGACAGCTGTGCCACAGAAGAGGAGGAGGAAGAGGTGAGGCAAACCAAGTGCATGGACTCAGACAGCCTCAGCTCACAATTCATGGCATATATTGACCAGCGGCGAATCTCTAATGAGGTGGTGCTTTTACTTAAATTAGTTAAATTCATGCGCCCCAGGAAAGCCTCTGTGATGGTATTAATGCTTCTTGTCCTCAGAGGTTTTCTTAGGGCTTATTGTTTGGTTTTATTTATTTAAAAAAATAATAAAATCAGGTCTCATCTGGGGGGAAGAGCACAGCATTGTGCTTTGTGGAAGGTCAGAGCTGGAGTTTTAAGCTGCTCTCAAATGCCCTTTGGGATATGTGGAATAAGTCCAATGCAGCCATACTGTTTTCCTATCATTTGGATTTACAGAATCATAGAATGGTTTGGGTTGGTAGGGTCTTTAAATATCATCTAGTTCCAAGCCTACTGTCATGGGCATTGACACCTTCCACTAGACTTGCTTCTTGCAAGCTTATGCTTTAAGCAAATGTGAAGTAAATGTTTTTCCAAGGAGTTCTGTCTTCAAAAAACATTCAAGTTGATGCTTCCAGCTGGTAATTTATGATATCTAGAAAGCTGTGAACATTTACTTGGTAGTTCTGAACATATATTGGCTTTCTCAGGGGAAAAATGTTGATTGTTACCAGCATAAAGACTTAATACAGGAATTTTGCAACTCCCATTAATTTGTCTGTTCAAGTTGATTGTAAGTTACTTGCCAGTAAGCTCAGTGTCTTGAGCATCCATTTTAAGTGTAGACTAACCTAAGTATTCAGACTTTTCAGAAAGCCTACTCTTTAAAGAAAATGGTTTCTTTCTCTCTCACTATTGAGCAAAGCTCTGAACCCACAGGTACAGGCTTGTTGTGTATGTAGTCACCTTTCTGAACAAAAAATACCATCTGTAGTTTTAGATAAACCTGGCATGAAACTGTTCTCAGTCAGTGAAAGTATACAGGTGAATGAACAATAAGTAAAATTATTGCTAGATGGGCTAAAAAGTTCTTCAGCCAGTCTTTTAAAAATGTCTAGCAACAACTGTAAGCAACTCAACACTAGCCTGTTTTCTCTCACAGAAAAAAATAATGCTAATAATAATAATAATAATTTTTAAAAAGGGCAAACTTACCATATACTATCCTAATAGAAGCTGGTTTAATTGATTGCTTACTCTATCCAAATGATGTCCTGGCGCAGACAAGGGCAATGATTCCAGTAAGACTATTGTTACTTTTGTTTAGCTCATGTCATCTTATTGCTTTCTAGCTGCACAAGAATCGGTGTGCACTATAATAAAATTCACTAGAATTGCTTTGAAATTGTATGAATTGCCAAAACTGGGAGGTGCCTTTGTGCCAGTTGTAGCAACCCCTGCTGTGAACACATGGAGAAAACTGTTCCCTGTTAAGTCGTTTGGATGGTACATTTCTAGGGACTGTCCTCAGAAATCTAACCAATAGGAACACATCTTCAGCATCCATGGAGGAGTCTGGTCCCTAATTTGCCCGCTTGATAGTACTGTTTGCTGTGTTTAAAATCAGTGACATAGATATCTGAGAGGTGCACTAATTTTGCAAATGGCATAAATCCAATATCAGATCACAAAAGCTGATGCCACTTGAAGCATAGGCATAAGAGCAAAACTCAGAAAAAGCAACCATTGGCAATACAGCACAAGGACTCCTTGCCGTGGCTAGTGAATAGGCATTGGTCAACATCAAAAAGCTGTTCATAGACATCTATTTATTCATAAAAATTTAATTATTTGCTTTTAACTGAAGTAGTAGTTTCTCTTAAAAACAATCCAAAATACTACTTAGGAAAGCAAACTGTATGCAATATAACAATATGCATACATGAGTAAAAATTTGGAAAGTTGATCTTGAAGAGTTTCCATTTTCCTACATTTATGGGTACCAGCAGAAGTTTTAAAATAAAATTCCCAATGGGATAAATGATTTCGTAGCTCAAATTAAGCCTAATGTGTTCTCATTCATCCCATGTTTTGCTTTCTTAGTCCCTCTGTGATGTATCTTTAGGGCATCATAAAAGTCCATCAGCTATTGTATCCTGTATTTCCGAGAATCCGGACTGCATTGCTGTACACCGGAATGTATGTTTTTTTAGAGTGACATGAATTATTTTCTATCTACGTGTACTTTTCTGCATTATTCTTAATAGTGGAAGTTTTAAACTCTTAAATTTATCAGTAGCCATATTTATTCTTGAAATAAAATTTATTTAAATAGGAGGAAAAAATAAAAGGGAGCTTGCCTAGCTGGAAATGAACATCCCTGAGTTGTGATTTGTGGTTCTTTTGTCAAGTGTTTTGAATATCAGTAATTACAAATGTTGCTCTACAAAGAATTTCTTTGACATTAATGTACAGTTTTCTGAATAACTTGCTAACTTAGTCTTTGTTTTTTTGCTTAGGGCTCACCAGTAAAGCCTGTATCCATCAGAGAATTTCAGAGAACAGAGGATACAAGACGATATTTACATCAAAACAGGTAAGAATATGTGGTAATTGTATCCAAAGGTTTATGATGAGCATGTTTACTGAATGTGTTTTGAAAATGACACAGTTTCCTGCTGCTTCACCAGAAACGTGCATTGCACTTGATTTATAAATTATTGCTGCAAATTAGGAATTCGTGTTCTAATAATGGTAGTGACCAAAAGGCATGGCTGTTCTAGACCAATGCTCAGCTTTGAATCAGTTGGTTAAAGAAACCTGCCAGATTAAAGTGTATACTTTTAAACTGATTTATTATCTGCATTTCAGAATTTAATTTGTGCTTCGATTAAATAGCTGACTATATTACATAAAGGACAGAAGGGATAAACATACTTGTACTGCAGGTTTAGGGGAAGCACAAAGAGAGTTACTATGGAGTATCCTGGTTGACTCTTGGTAGCTGTAGTACCATAGGGTTTTAGTTTAATTTAAAATATGCTTTTATGTGTCATAATCATGAGCTTACATCAGGGGAAGAAGGGATAGGATGGGAGTCAATGCTGAAAACAGGTTGCTTATTTTAATAAAGCAGACTTTCTGAATTATGCTCATACTCTTTAATGACTGTTGGCCTATTGAAGGGATTGCTTATCAGTAAAAATGGGTCAGAGTTGGACAGAATATAAATGAGATGGTTAGGTTTGAGAAAAGACGTTTGGGTGTCTAGTTAAGAGAGCAGAAGATAAGTGAATATATAGCTTCTTGCTAATGGAACTAAAATAAAAATTGATGGAACCCTTCATATTTCAGTATTCTGTGGGGTGAATGTGAATGTGCAAGAACACAGCAGAAAGCCAGCTCAATTGTACTAGGAATGTTAAGAAAAGAACTGCTAGCTATAATTATGTCATTACTTGTGCTGTCAGTAGAAATTAATGTTTAATGGCATACTAAAATGGCATTGAAAGAGAAAATGAAATCAAGAATAGTGTGTACATTTTTCCAGAGTCATGGCAACATTTTAATAAGCATTTTGAAATGTCAGCAGATGTGCAGGAAAGGTAATTGTACTGATACAAAAGAGGGTAGCTCCTTCAATATGTATAAGCATTGCTTATCCTGTAGTTTGTTTGTTTGTTTACTTTCCTATTTGCACACTTGTCAACATGGAAATATTTAGACTTTGCAAACACCGGATTCTATGACATAATCTGAAGGAAGTAAGAGAAGGCTTATTAACTAGGAGAGAGCTGCTGTTTACATAGACATATTTTAATGATAAAGGAAATTGTATTTCACTATGGTACCAGTGTTTTCAAAATCTAACTTAAGGATGGCAGCAGATCTTCGCACAGAAGTAGTTAATCTACAATCTAAATGAATTGCAGTTTTCATACTATGCTGCAGCAGAGTGAAATTCTTAACAAGGTACTAAAACCAAGTCATACTGTTAATGCCTTCAAAATTGTGTAAAACCAGCCATATGACAATGAGTAATTTTTTTATATTTTAAGCTTGTATTAGACAAATATTTAATTTGTGGTAACCACAAGCTGTAAACTGCTTCCACAATAATTCTGTGCAAATGCCTTGGCAGGCAGCATCTTTGTTTTTCCTTCAGCATGCTGAAGCCATTAAAACTCTTGGAGTTAGATGTTAGGCAGGCTCCATCTCAAGAGTGCTTACATTAGTTGATTCAATTCAGTAACTACAGTTTGTGCCTCTGGACAGACTGTGGTGCATTCCTGATGCAACAAAGCTCTGTGTACTCTGGTCTGAATACACTTCTTGGCACTCAGCTGAATCCAGTCTCGTCCATTTGAAACAGCACAGTAATGGATTTGTCACGTGAATCAGTGCTAATATAAGTAACAGAGGAGGCCTGTAGCATACGGGTCTTCCACATGTTTTAAGATTATCCATGCAGAATAGGTAATAAGTCTACACACAGGCAGCAGGACTGACATTTTTTGGAAATGCATTAGTAAGTGTGTCTCTGTTCCACAGTTGCCGCAGGAGTTTAGGTTGCAGAGTGGAGGCTGTCAAGAGTAAGCTGCTAGATTTCCATCAACTTTCTAGACAGAACATGGCAGGGAACATGCTGTAGACTGTGGGCGTTGGGAATTGTTTCAGTTCTAGCAACTGCCTTCTATCAAAGAACTGACTGCAAGATTTCTTTTATTGTTCATATGGTGGATAAGAGAGAGATCAGTTGTTGTTTACCTTGTGACTTTGATGGGTTGTATCACAAACATGGAGGAAGTCATCACTTGATTGATAAAGTGAGCAGGTTTGTTCTGAAAATCTCAGAGGGTGCTAATGTTTAAAACTCTCTTCAGAGCACAGTAAGGCCTACAATAACCAAAATACAGTCTTAAAAGGGAGATTCTATCTTTGTGTATTTTGAAATCATTGTTAATCAAGCAGGTTATGTTTATTTAATTATGAGCTGTGGTAGCTGTGAACTGACTTCATATCACAACATGATTTCTTTAGTCATCCTAAATTTCAGCTTTGTGGTTATCTGAAGTTAATTGTCTAGGCCATTACTCTTAGAAAAACAGCTGTAATCTAGAGAGGAATTAATCTGATAGTAGTTTATATGCATTAGTGGCCAATCTCCCTTCCATCTGGTGTTTACCTGCAGGGATGCTGATGAATTACGAAGACCTGAAACTCTAAATTTGATGCAGGACAGAGAGCATCACCAAGTACTAAGGAGTTATGTGGGCAGGACAGAGAGGTGGGGAAAAGAAACATATGGTTTCTACTAATTAATTTTATTCCACACGTACACCCCTCTTCCCCCAATAACTGTAGTAGGCAGTTGGCCCTCTAAATTTATATAGTCTGAAAAGGTCCCGGATTGGTTACTTAATCAGCTCTTAGAGAATCAGTATGAAGTACTGAATATCTCCATGTAATAGGCCAAATGTACAATCCAATTGGTACATCTTTAGCTGTAGAAAAATTTTATCACAATTCTGGAGGAGAGATAGAAATGACTGTTCAAATCTGTCATGCACGGTGAGTTAAATTATTATCGCAGCAGTTGGTTTAACAGCTTTGCTTACTAAACAGTTACTCTTCTGATTTGATGAGATACTTGTGTGTTCTGACAACTCACGTTTGAAAATTTGTTCAGATTTAAGATAAAAAGTATACTTACTCTGTTTTTCCATTTGTCAGACCCCCAGCTGATTCACCTTACTTTCTATCAAGTCACCACGGTCAGGTAACACATTGAACTCTACTATTTTATTCTTTTGGATGAGTTTAATGCAAAACCAAACTCAGTGTTAGCCTTAAGACATGGACTGTTTCTCCATCTGTTTTACCCTGTGTAGCTCTGTCTTTACAGCCTAGTGCACTGTTTTGTTCCAGGTGCCTAATACAGATACCGAGCTGCACCGCAGGCACATAGAGCGTACCCGTCGGGAGGCTCAGCTAGCAGCGCTTCAGTATGAGGAGGAGAGGATGAGAACAAAACAGATTCAGAGGGAAGCTGTCCTCGACTTTGTTAAGGTACCTCCTTTTAGTACCTACTTGATACTTTATCATTTCTGAATCCCCTAATGAAAATTAATTGCCAAGATCGTAATACTTGTACATTACACTCCTGGGCAGGCATGCCATTTGTAAAGAAAATGGAGAAATAGTACTTAAGTCCATTTAGTGTTGGTGCTGTATCTTAAGATAGATAAAACTAGAATTGAAGAGGAAGACAGAAGAGATCTGCCCACAAATGGTTATTGCAAAGAACTGTATTTTTACATAGTCCACCTCATTCTCTCAATTTTTCATTGGCATAGATGTGACAGGATTGGAAAAGAAAGAAGAGGTCTTTATTTGAGAAGACATAGAGGCAATTTAATTTTGAAGACAAATTTGGCAGATAAGAAAGCAATCATACACACAAGATAACATTAGCTGATCTATTTTGGTACTTCATGGTGCATTAGTAAGTTACTTCCAGGTAAAGCAAAGGTGCAAATTTATGGTACCTCAGATCGTCCATGGATACTGCATCTTTGCTTTCTCTTTCACTGTAGTCAGTATGAAGTAGTCTGCTGCTCAACATGCAAACTTGTTTATATGTTAGTTAACTTAAATTTATTTTACTGTTTACTGCTCTGGTGACCTACCCAAATTTCACCATCACAAATCTAGTATTTTGGGCTTAGGGTGGTCTGCAGAGAGGAAAAGAATGTTTCATTGCATTTAAGTAATGTGTAAATTTAGTTTAGAAAAAGGTTTTTAGCTGCCTGGAAGCAGGCTTTTCATTAACACCAACTAGGCTCAGGCCTCTGGCAATGTTTTTTAGAAAAGCTGTTTTTATTAAAGATTCAGCTTAGTCTTTCAGTTAAAGACATTAGATGTTTAGGATGCATTTTGTTCATTGATGAGCTTTTTGGGGGTTTTGGTTAGGTTTTTTAATTCTGTTGTCTTTGTTATGCATGAGCATTTTATTCCCACCAGTTAAATTCCTCCCTTGGGTTATATTTTGCTTTTATTATACATCTTTAATATGCAAAATCAATTTTGTTTGGTTTTCACATGGAATAAAGGCTGGTTTTTTTACTAATAGTATCAGTGAAGCTTCAGCTCAGTGGAAACTTGCAATTTTCCCAGTGCAAGTTTCACTTAAAAACTAAGACTTCTTGTGTTTTAAAACACTTCTAAATTATACTGTTTTGTTCTGAGCTTTTGTTTCTCTGTCACATTCTTTTAAATTGTCATCCATTTTTCTTTTTTCTCTGTAGCAAAAAGCATCCTTAAGTCCTCAGAAGCAAAGTCCTCCAGATAGTGAGGTAAGAGTGCTATAGGAGTATTACAAGACATGTCAGCACCTCAATTCTTAGCGTTCTCTATCAGAGATATTTTCCTGATGATGGAGAACTCTTCAGGGCTGGGTTATAGCAGTTCTTTTGACACTTAATATTAATCCTTGTGATGGGGTTTTTTTGCTTGTGGGACCTTCCTAATATTTCCTTTGGCTCATGTAAATGCCTGTCCAAGTGTGGTGTTCTACTGTTTCTTGTATGTTTTCTATATTCTATACAGAAAGCATATTTCATATTCCATTTCAGGTTGCTCCTTGTGAGCAGTACAGTTTTCTTTCTAATGGGAGTATTGAGACAAATTACTGTGTTGTAGTCATCCTTCATTGATCAGTTTTCTCATAGTTTCCTGCCATTAGATCACCAGTTATGCCAAAAAGATTAAGCATTAGAATTTTGAGGGCTATCAGAAAAATAAATAGATACAATTTCAAAAAGTTTTATTCTAGTGTAGCTTAATAATCAAAACCAGTAAGTCAGCAGGGAACACAAATCATACAAGGCTCAGTCTTCTAGCGCTGAGTCAATAACATCTGTTCACTCTCTGCATCAGATTTCTACATAGTAATAGCTCTTCCACTGCTTGCCATCCCCACTTTCCTCCAGAGGATGATAATTCATTTGGCAGTGTTAATCAGATCAAAACTTTTAATAATATAATGAGTATAAATAGTTCTTCAGCAGCATTTTCCAACTAACTTTTCTGTTAGGAAATTACCGAAACAGGGGGTAATTGAGACAGTTTTTGTTCCTTTTCCTTCTTAATGTTCTTCTGTTCTTAATTTGTTCTTTTAAAGGGTCCTTTGTTCTACCACAGTAAGAACTGTGAATACATAGTTATCTGTATTTACTTGAGACAACACAGAAAGCAGAGTAATTGATTCCTTAACTAACATGAATACACTGTAATTGCTGGGTTATGTGGCTGTATATTACTGCAGAGTTACATATACTTTATGGACCTTAAAAAAGCCTCACAATGCTATAAACAAGCAGAACATGTTCCAAAATGTCTGTCTGTTCACATACCGTGTGTTTCTGACATTCTGTGTGTTTCTGACATTACTCCATCTCTCCCAACTCCCAGTGTCCCTTTCCATCCAGAAGGTCTCAGCATACTGATGATAGTGCCTTGTTAGTGGTAAGATCCTGCACGTAATGGCCTTTTTATGTGGCAGATTCTAGAGCATTGAAATAACAATGTTATGATTGTCTCAGATTAGACCAACTATTTTAGAGCTAATCTAAATAGCATAAAACATGACCATCTTTGAAAAGTAGCTTAGCTGTGAACTTTAATATTATGTCAATACTTGTACTGGCAGCCATTTGTTAATAATATAGTGATGTTTTCCCGCAAAATAATTAAAACTTATCTTTTGCTGACAGCAGAAGAAAATTACTGATAGAACAGTAATAAAGAACAGCTTCTACAATTAAAAATTAATCTCTAGTTGTTCTGGTTTGATTTTTTTCTCCATTTAGCTTGCTTCCCAATTGATGCACTCCGCAGTATCAAGTAAGCAATTTTAATGCTTCAGGCACAGCCTTCGACTTTAACTCATCTGCATCCTGCACATGGTGGTGGAAATACTTAGTATCTTGGCAGGGAAAAACTGCTCTACGTATGCTACACATCATGAAATATTCCCCATACCGTTTTAATGTTTATTGATGGTGTTATTTTAAAAATAATCTATTATGAACACTTAGCAAAAATAAAAGCATTTATGTACCTAATTCATGTTTTATGCTATTTCTCCCTTTATGGCATCTTAGCAATGTGCATAATTAAAGAATATAATTAATGCCATAATTCATGTCTATAAAAGAAAAATACACCTGATTTGCCTGCTGTTGCATGACTGCATGCCTGGGATTTATTTTCTTAATTCATGGGCTTCCATTACCTGCCTAAATTTTCTTTAGGCAGTGCTTTCAGTTAGAGTGTCTCTCTCTAGAATACGTTGCTGAAGATATTTACTATCTCTTTATTCAGACATTTTTGTTTTCCTGCTTTCAAACACTAAGCACTGTGTGGGAAAGAAAGAAAGCTAGTAATATTAGAGAGAGATCTAGTGATCATGCATGTGCCTGTTGAGAGAAATCACAATCAGTTAGATATAAAAATGTGCTTTCATATTTAGATAATCAGAAACAGAAGAATAGCAGTAGTCTGGTTTAAGTGTTAATAATCTCTTGTCAGTGAATTAATCTTTGCAATGTATTCTAAAGATACCTTTAAGGACCCCATTTCTATTTGATTGTGTACCCTGTGACTTTTGTTGTAAATTAATATATAGAATTTTACATTACATGACTTGGAATTTTCAGAAATTAATTTGAAACTGTCTTCTGTCGCTGTTTATGTCCTTTGTATTTTAACCAAGTTACATCCTTGCACCTCACAGATAAGTGGCCAGGCTGGTAGGGAAAGATTGAACCAGATTTCAAAGCAGTCATTTCTCTGTTCATTCTTTTTTTGATTCCTTGCTCTTTTCAGCAGCACTGAACTATAATAGTATATGAAATACTCAGTTTTCTAAACTGCTGAAGTATGGTCTGCAGTTTTATTTTGTAATGGAAATACACAGTGTGTCTAATGACGACATATGCCAGGGCAGCTGTTTCTGGCAATTATTATAAACTGGAACATTAAGCCCATGCAAGCTCATGAATTTGTAGCAGTTTTGTTTCTACAAATGTATTTTGTATGGTAAAAACATGTTCAACAACAAGGAAATGTTCATTAGTTTGCTTTAGGGGGAAAAAAAAAAAGTCTGTCGTAAGAGTTGAATTACTTCTGCTTTTTTATATTCTGTTGTATTTCATTTGACATTCTCCCTGCCCTTACGGATTTGAAACTTAGCTGGGTATAATTTCTGAGGATGTTTTTTTCCTCCACCAAAGTACTTGATATCAAAGTTCTGTTCGCTAATGGCAGTTTTCAGTACACATTTTTCATTTATGTAGTTTCCTCTCTGTCTTTTTCTCTCTCCAAAAGACTGCATGCAGCAGTGTAAACTTTACCGTGCCAAACTTTAGGACACTGAAACTTGCAGATAGGTTAGTTTTAAAAAAATAGTTCTGCTGTTTTTTCCGCTGATTGTTCTAGCTTTATGGTGTGGGAATAACACTTCATGGCAAAAGGAGAGAATATTACATAGAAGTACAGTAAAAGATCTTTTGTTCAGCAGTTCCCTTGTTACATCAGAGCTCTCCAAACTGAGCAGTTGCTTTCCTTTTGCTCCAAACAATGTTTTCAGCTCACATAGAATCATAGAATCATAGAATAGTTAGGGTTGGAAAGGACCTTAAGATCATCTAGTTCCAACCCCCCTGCCATGAGCAGGGACACCACACACTAAACTATGTCGCCCATGTAAGGAAAAGATTAAAAAGTAGTTAAGTCTAATACGTAGTTAGGATACAAGTGAGCTTTCTTTTATTTTACCTCTTCTGTCTTCTGGTTTTGTTACTACTTTCACAAAAACTTTCTTAAAACCAAAATTTAAGTTGTGAATTTCCTTTTTTAAATCTTCTGTCGTGTTTCTTCTCCTTGTTGTCTTTTGTCACTAATTAAATTAAAATGCATTCACATTGCACAAGTTGTTCTGATTGTTTCCTTCTGTTTGTAAACATTTTCAGGACAGTCTGTTTGAACTTACAAAAAAGACTACCCATATTTTCTATGAGTGTTAATAGTTTAGTTCTGTTTGTTCTACATACCTATGATTAGAAATGAAGTTTAGCTATAGTACTTTATTGCACACTGTGGCAGCTTTCTTTGTGTTGAGTTGTGATAGACAGGCTAACTAAAATGTTGCTGAAGAAATGTAATCGCTGGCCTCTAAGAAAATGTGCTGTATACCTCAAAGTTTTGTATTAGTCCTGTCCTGCTTGCTGTTCTCACACGGGTAGTCCTGTTTCTTACAATTGAGATTACTTGTTGAGATAGTATCAAGGCTTCAGACTTGGCTAGTGATTTCAGCCTTGATTGCTTATGGATCTCATTTTCCCCCAAATAACTTGTTTCTTCCCATACTGTCCCTTACAAGGTAAATACTGTGGAAGGAAAAAAATCCCAAAACATCCTCTCAAACCGCTGCTCAATTTCTCTATTGTGAAGCCCATGACATACTTGATAACATCGGGCAGCTGATGTGACCTCTTCTTTTCATAACCTTTGTGTCATTGCTGCCTTGTTCTCTCTTCATTGTGTTTTGTTTTCTTCTTGTGGTCTCAAACGTGGCCTGAGGCCATCATGTTGCTATTAGCACATGGGATCTCTGAAGCACTTTAACAATTTAAGGCTTTTAGGCACCAGTGTGTTACAGATAATAATGGTATGGGTGTATGGGTAAAGTAAGCAGAACTTGAGTTACGCTAACTTGTACCCTGGAGGTTTCTCTCAGACTATTGGCATCCATTTGTGTACTCAAAAGTTTAATAATCAAATTCTCTTAAAATATCCTTATTTGGTTCGAGCAGAGTTCTGGTTGGGCTCTGCTTTGGCAGTCCCTGTGTCTACAGTTGTTTCTGGCACGGGGAAGTTTCTTTGACTTCAGTCCTAGACCTAGAGACCAAGTGCAGCATGTGCAGTAAGGTGTTGTAAGTCTGAATTCCAGCATCTTGGTTCCTTTCATATTGTGGCTGCCTTTTCTTACAGTTGTTCTTTGCCTCACATCCTCCTTTCTTCCCTCTCTTTCTTTCCTTGCTGTCCCTGGCAGAATGGCTTTGAGCCTCTCTTTGTGTTTGAGATTGACAGTAACACCAATACCATTAAAAGAAGGCCAGGGACTCGCAAACAGGTGAAGAGCATGCAGTGTGTTGCTGTTGTGGTTGTCCTACCCTGTGGTGTGCTGTGTTCCCCTTCCCTCCACCCACTGCTGGGTACGTGGATTTGTGACAACTTCTTGTTAGTCTGCATCAAGGTTGTCTTAGTCACTTCATATAGGAATAAAAAGTTAACGTTACAGACCACCTACTTCTGTTTTATTTTACTATTCTCATATAATAGCTGATGTTTTACTTAAGTCAAGTAATATGTTGAAATTCTTACAAAAAAAAAAAAAAAAACCAACAAGATTTTTGCTTTGCACTACTGTGGAGAGTCTGTCCTGAGAATCAGCTGTTAAGTCTGCATAAGGCCTAAAGATGTTTGTATTTAAGGCTTGCCCTGAGCATAACCTCTCTTTCTAGTCCTTCCTGACTGTACTATTCTGAAATGGCACAGTAGTTGCAAATCATTTCAAATAGTAACACTCTCAGGTGTGTTATTCACATCCATAGAGTCTCTAGGTGTCATTTGGTGTTCTTTTCCTGTTCTGAACTGCCGCTTTCCTATTCGAATACTGTTTCAGAAAGTATAGTTTCATTCTTGAGCCATTCAGTCCTCAAATGGTAATGTTTTGATTGTGCTTTCAATAAGACATGGAATTTGGCCTTCTAGGTCCGTCAGTGATAGATTGGGATGGTAGAGCTCCTGTTCCATAAACATGAGTTGTTGTTTATTTGGTTGGTTTTAATATTGTCCGTAACTGAAATCTGGCTGCGCTTTATTTGTGGCAGCACTGTAAATCTTCACACTGGCATCTTCCCCGAGAGCTAGAATCCACCCACAGGATCTTATTTACTTTGTGTGTGATTCACAGGATCAGCGTTAGGTGTTTGTGGCAGACACAAGGTGTGTTTTCCTAAGCTGATTAGATATGGTTTCTCTGATTTTTACCAAGTTGATAGGAAAATAACTGACTAAAAATGCACAACATACTTCAAACATTAAAAAAAAAAAAAAAAAGCTTTATTCTGAATAGTGGCTCAGAATGAACTGTTCAGGGTAAAATTTCCTTTTGGCTGATGGCATAGATGATAGATTAAGTGTTACTAAAGAAGCTTTTGCCTCACTGTTCTTAGTAACTTACTGTTCTACTGGTTCTGCTTTTGATGTCACTGTGGGGTGTGTAAAAGAAACATCACATCTCCCATGCTTACAAGCCAGATAGTTCAGGAGGATAGGAAGGCTTTAACTGCAGTTCAGCAAGTACGTTTTTGTTGCCTGTTGAGTGTCTGAGAATGTGATCACACTCACCTCTTGCTTTTTAACTTGTCTACTGCATTCCACCTTTGTGTATGACCTATCGGCCATTTGCTAACACAGCTACTGCCTTCTCTTTCTTTCTGCATTCAGTCATTTTCAGGGTTGAATCAAGAAAGCCATGCTACTACCCTGCCTAATGCCTCTACCTTCAGTCCTGTCAAGGTATCTCTTGCTATTATCATTCACCAACAAAAAACCCTTGGATCCACACATCTGTTTTAACAGGTGTTAGTCTGTCAGCTTCTAATCAAAAGTTCAGGTAGGGTATGAATCTGACTTACCTGATTAAACTGTAGTAGATATTACCTCACCTTAGCTTTAGGCTGTGTCTACAGGAGGCCTAAGCTATAAAAATATGGTAACCAGTCTCTGCTCCGAGGGGTTCTTGGTTGTCTTTGGTGTTGCTTTTTCTGTACAAGTTTGTTTGCTCTTGACCAAGTTGAGTTCATCTAAAGTACTCTTTTTGTATTCTTCACCAGCTTACTTATGAATACAGACACCCTGTGTTTCTTTCTCCTCTGTGGAAACTGCTGTACTGAATGAATTTATCACAAGAAATCAGTCTGCAGAAGCACTGTAATAAAACACAGGGTGTTTCACTGGGGAGAGTGATGTTAAGTAAACACCAGGTTTGCATTAGCAAAGCTGTCGAAAAAGTGTGTGCTTACTGGTCCTGCTGTAGTGCAAGTTTTGCATGTTATTTAATTATCTCTTTTTCTGTGTCCCCTTTACAAAGAATACTTCTAAAGTTTTGGTTTGAAGGAAGAATAAACAAAAATCTGACATTGCATTGTCAGTACTGTTTCATCATTCTTTCTCCTTAGAAAAAAGCAAATGTGTTATTTCTGCAAAAGAAAAAACTTTGTCACTTTCTGCAGATGAGACTTGAGGAACAACATACTGTGGTTTTTCACATTTCTGGGTTTTGTTGGGTTTTCTTGGTTTGTTTTTGTTTTTTTTTTTTCTTGAAACACATTTAGATGGATGGAGCCTTTTTTAAAAACACAGAAAATTATAATGTAGTCACAGTTTTTGCAGATTAGGGCTATTTATATTATTCTGCTTTTTTTATCCACAGAGTGATGACAGATCTGCCATCTCCCCTGGCTCACCTACCACACAGACAGGTAACAGGGAAAGGAACAAAAATTTCTGAAAAATTATCAAAATGCCTGCTTTGCTTATTTGTGCTACGAAGAGATGGGAGCGTTTTTTTTTCCACCTCTGTGTGTGGCACTGCTGTTTGAGAATTTACTCAGTTATTTGGGTCTCCTTAGAAACACTTGAGGGAAGAGACAACAGGGGTGTGAAGGATGTCTTCAGGCAGAATGTAGGGTTTGGCTGCTTTAGGCCTCCATACAGGCCTAAAGCAGATGCATTCAACACCAGTCAGAACAGTTGTTAGTATTGGTATGTGGAATGTGCTTTGCGTGCAGGCATCCTTGGAAGTGCCTTTTCCTGCTTTGCGCTTTTACCATGCATGGCTGTAATTTATTTTGTCATTATTATATTAAAATTTTTGTTTTGTTCCTTTTAATTACCACATTGCAGAACCCATTTCCTATTTAAATTCTAACCATTTCCTTCTTCCTCCGTTCCTGTGCCTTTCCCCATTTGTTTAGTCCACCTTTCCCCTCCATATCCTGGCCATGCAGCCCCGCCTTCCTATAGAAACCCTGCCCAGCGACCAGAGAGTTTCCTTTACCAAGCAGCTGTCAGGGATGAAGCAAAGAAAGGTAGGTTAAATAGCTCAGAAATCAGCTAGCTTTACTACCCTGTATTAACATCTGCATTTACCAAGGTTTTGCATTGTTCTGTTACTTCAAGTCTTTATCATTAAACTACTTTTCGAGTTCCATTTCCAGACACATGGCATTACGTACTTTTTGAATAAGAAGTTTCTCATTTAGAGCTGTCGAATATTTTTTTGCCATATTTGTAGAAATGTGGGGGTTTATTCTTCCTGGTCTGTGCCTATACCTAAGAAGATACCAAGAAAATGCCACAAAAGCCTTCAACAGCTGATGAAGGCAGCTTGATAAATTTAGCATTGCATAGTAGCTCAAACAACGTTGCAATTTCTGTAGAAATTCTGAACTGTTTCAATGTACTCCATCCAGCAGAACTTTGTTCTCCTTTATGAATTACTATTACCCAACAGAAAGAACAGATTCTAAATAGCAAGGAAAATATGTTAAAGAATACCTCATTTAGATTAGGAGATCATTACTTTGATTCATAATAAAATGAAAGAAACAGATTGTGAAAGGGAATGCACTGTAGCCTTTCTGGAACCTTGTGTGTGCATGTATAATACAGTAGCAAAGGACAGTCAGCCAAACTATGCTTAGTGATCTTCTTTCCTTCATGCTGCTTTTTTAGCTATTACTTCATCTTCTACCTGTGCCTTGTCTCCTGCTAATGATGCTGCAGACCCTAGAGTAAGACATAACTCCAAACAGCGAGAAGAGGAACTGGAGCTAATAGAGCAGCTACGCAAGGTAAGTGCTGCCCAGAGCCAGTATGTGGGCATCTTAGTAAATGCCTTGCACACAGCCTTTTAAATCTGTCCTTGTGTTTTGGACCAATTTCACTGAACCAATTTGGTGACCAGCTGACCAAAATTAAATGGTGATGTACAGTCTCAGTGGTTCTTTCAGATGGATTCAGTGGTGTACACTCTGGTTTTTGCGGTGGATAAAGTCAGCTTCAAGTTCTGTAAAATGAACACTCCTGCTTCTGAGTGTCTGGTGATCTCTGCTTTTAAAATGAATGTGTGGTTTCTTTTTTCTTTATCAGCCTTCACACTTGTTAGGGTGAAGCCTGCACACTTCACTGGAAAGTTACCTCACTGTTTACTTTAAATCTCTTTTTTTAAACTCCTTTTTGCTGTAAAGCCCACAGAAAAGCAGGTGACATGCAGAGACTACTGCCAGTCATGCTGACAATATGGTTTCCTTCTGTGCTCTGGATCCGTCTTTTGATTCTTGCTTTATCCTTGGCTAAGTGCAGAACATCAGAGGCACAAATATTCCTTATACTTGTGCTTTTTGACTGTTCAGGGCCACCACGCTCGTGGCTTATGCACAGATACAATGACACTACACATACATGAATATTGAAAATGCCACATGACATTAAGGTACTACTCTGCTTTGTCCCAGACTTGTTTCTGGAGAGCATGGAGGGATTCCTTGAGGTGCTCTAGTCAATTTTTTGAACTTTCCCAAGAGTTAAGAATTCCTACTTGTTATGGCTATAAGCATCCCAGATGGACAGAGAGAATTCTTTTTCTTCATAACGTTTAAAGTAAGGACAATCTCTCTAAAAGGAGAAAGTTATCTTAAATAAAGCAAAACCAAACTTGGTGCTGTCTGCAGAGCCCCTCTTCTGTTATCTCAGAATGCTTTGTATGTAGTCTGTCTCTTGTTCTGCTTCCCAGGTAAGCTTAAATCTTTTCTAATACTCAAAAAAATGTAGATACAGTATAACAACTTAGTGAAATTCACACAATGTTTGAAATAAGATTAAAAGCCTGAACAGAATTTGTATTGATTTCCTTACACGAATGCTAACTATTTATGTCAAATAGTTCAGGTTTTTATTTAAAGGCAAAAATGTTGTCTTGATTTTTCTTAACTGTGTTGTCCTCCAACCCATAATGACAATTATTTTCACTTCCCTTGGCAGAACCATTCTCTGAGACTATGTAGGATCAGGAATACTATTTCTAGACCCTGATTTCCATTATTTTTGAATAATGGTTGTATTAGTTCCCTGTGCTGTACAATGAAAACTGTTCATCATTGAACTCAGTTGCTCCCAGATTATGGTCAGCTCTGGGCTACAGTAGTGTGCAGAGCTTTCCTCGATGTTATTCAGAAAGCTGTTTCGAAATGTCATGAGGACAGACAGAGCTGTAATGCAAGCACTCTGCTTCATATAAAATGTTCTGTAGAATGAAACAGCTGGAGGAAACCAGCTCTTACTTTTTGTGTGTCCATGTTCATCTTTCTACAGAACATAGAATCACGGTTGAAAGTGTCATTACCCAGTGATCTTGGAGCAGCTCTCACCGATGGTGTTGTTCTGTGCCATTTAGCTAATCACGTGCGTCCCCGATCTGTTCCCAGCATTCATGTCCCCTCACCTGCTGTTGTAAGTATATAATAATGATGGTGTTTTATAAGTGTCCAGAATACCATTCAGCAGAGTCCCATAACCCAGACAAATGCTAAATTCAGCATTCTCCTCTCTGAATGTACATGACAAACAGTAACCATCAATGTTCTGTCTAAAAAAGGTCTGTAGCATCATTAAAAGAAACTGTATTTGGGTTTGCTTCATTTAAATGAAGTTACTTCTAACACAGATTATAAGAAAATGTTAATATTTTCAAGTCTGCCTTCCATTAACTTGAAAACCAGTGAAATAAGAGTCAGTTCAGCATGAAAACTGAAATAGGATATTTCAGAAGATTAAAAGGTCTGAGAAGTTAAGTAAAACAGATAGTAGGGAAATACAACATTCTCTACCACATTTAGAATCCCACTACATAAGACAGTAAAAACAGGCAGAGAAGACAACTTGATTCCTGTGTCCATTTCACAGTACTACAAATTCCTCTGCTTAGGAATTTCAGCAGAGCAGCCTCAAGCTACTTGGAGAACAGCATCTTCTGGAACAAAACAAATCCAGTCATACCTTTGTGATAATGGCCCCAAGATACAACCTTTTTTCCTGTTGAGAGCAAGGAAGGAAATGCAGGCACACTGCAGAGAAGTTTGAAAATGTCTGAAGTTGTTTCTCTGACCTTGCCTATCTGCAGTGCTTCTTGAAAGCTGTGATGATGATAGATTTCTGGATGCAT